TGTAGGACATTTACTTTTCACAATTTATCGCTTTCATATAAATGCTAGTAATTAGGGTTTGTATGGCAAGATAAAATCAATCTTAGAAAATCCTAATTCAAGATTAAACCAAGCATGAAATACAAAACACTTGCACACTTTACACCTCTAGGGTTAAATCCACCTTGTTGCCTTAAACAAATAGTCATTATATACATGTGAGACATCTTAGCCAAAACAAATCAAAAAATACAAGATCATAGTCCCTCGATGACGCTACGAATGTTGCCTTATAAATGATCTTAGACCCTTAAGAAAAATGCTAAGATATCTCACTACATTTATATCCATGACTATACGATGACCCACACCCGTCCCTTTACATCCAAAGATAGGGCTACTTACCAATCAATGGTGAGATAGCAATGTCAAAGGAAGATAGAAATGAACCAAAGATTTTTGAGTTGGTAGAACGTTCTTAGTTGCTTGCTTACAATCCATCTTAAAAAAAAAATCTTTTCAAACACACCAAACACTTTCAAAAACATGAAATGCTTTCAAAAGTCCAACACTTTATATACATTCTTATAGAGACAAGAATCATTACAAAGTTTTCCTAAACAAAGGCGCTTTTCAAAAATACTTTCAAAACCCATCACAAATACATTTCAAACAAAGCAATTTCAAAAGTGATCTAGCAAGCAACTAAGAGCCCATAGATAATTATGGATGAAAAAGTTGCTAACACCTTCCCTTTTCATAAACTACCCCCCGAACTCAAGAAAATATCTTAAAGGTCTTTCCTGTTCTTTTCACCCTTTCCTTATCCTATAAAAGTCAGTGGAGACTCTTGCTATCCGCAACAATTGCGATAAAACGCAAAACATCCAAGTCAGTTCTCCCACCGTATTACAGAACTGGCGACTCTGTTGGGTAATATTACTTAAAAATGGGGTTACCTTAGAACTAGATCACATTTAATTGCTTTCGTTGTTTGATTTGTTTGCTTTACATTTTATGAGTCCTTGTTTGGGTTTGTATTGATCTTCTTCCTGGATCTGGGAACATCATTAGATAAATAGCAATATACCGTGGAGACTGTTCGGGGTATACCGACATGGTTGAAACGATGGCTATGTTAGTGTGACACATTTATTGGTACCGGTAGCCCTTGAATCCAGTCAAGGAGAATACGGGGCCGCTGTGTGGTGTCATGAAGCACTAACTAACCTTAGAACCTTTAATTGAACAACTTGATCATTAGGAAGTAGTGAGATAGGTGGCTTTGGTGTAGTCCGAAGTTGGTTGATACTCGATAGTACGCTCATTCAGATTGGACTTTCGGGATATTTTGGTCGCTAATAAAAAGGTTTACGTTGAAACAATGCCCGATGAAGAAAGATCGGTGATATTTAGATTCCCTAGAACCCGATTACTTTCTAGGACAGGTTGAACCAACTAAACTTCAAGAGGGTACTTACCTATAAACTCCATGCAAGCCTAAACTTAAGGACTTGTTTGCTTTGTTTGTACATAACGACTTATTTTCTTTTGCTTGTATATGTTTATTTGTACATAACATCATGACATCATACCATAGCATTTTCAATAACCATTTCAAAGATCTCGAGGGTTTATGATGCAGGGTTATATTAAACTAGACGTCCATCAAGGGGCAAGAGGATTTATTTTCCTTTAGCCAAATGTTTCCAAAGATCAAAGTATGATAACTTGAGTCAAGGGCTATGAACCACTTGACATGGTGAGCTTAATTCTCGTAGAAATACATTCAACGATACGAAGTTCTCCAATCGAAGTTGCGATCAAAATCCAACTTCTAACTTTTTTTTTGTTTACCCTGCAAGATCCTTGGAAACATTGCATCCACATATCATGCATCATATCATGACAGGTTTTCCCTATACAAGTTTTCTCATCCGCTTGCTGTTTATTTCAGTAAAAATATTGTTCTCGAACAAACTGTCCAAGATCTTTAAACCCAAAATGATCAGTTTCAAGATTTGTTCCTGAATCTATCCAAGGGGCAAGAAGAAGTGAAAGCGCTCCTCATTGAGAGCATGACCGAGAAGAATCTCGAAGACGACAAGGATGGCTAGTTGAAGCAATTGCAAGCAGAGATGGAAACAATGAGAATCCAGATGTTGGGACATAAGGCTAGTTGATGTTATTGTTCCTATGAATATTTTGGAGACATTTGTTCAAGTACTCCATCACAATGACAAATAGAAGAAGTGAGATGGGATCACCCTTTCTCAAAACTTTTTTAGCCTGCATAATGTCATAGTACTCTCCATTGATATTGAACATGTAAGAAACAAATGTAACATCAATCATAACCCACTTGGTAAAATTCCTAGGGAAACATGTTTAATTTAAAATACACTTCATGGCTTTCCAATCGACTGTATCATAGGACTTTTGGATGTCCATCTGCATTATACACCTAGGTGTTCCACCTTTCCTAATGTATCCCTTTATTAGCTCATAAGCCATGAGAATGTGATTATGAATAATTTGGCATGGGACAAAAGTAGCTTGGTTCTTTCCAACAATGTTATCCATCACCTTACTCATTCTAGAAATTAAGACTTTTTATATTATCTTATAGCTGGTGCTACAACAAGAAATATGCATGTACTCCTTAATAGTTTTAGCCTCAGTACTCGTAGGAATAAGAGTCACCAAGGTGCAATTAAAAGCCTTGTAAATTCTATCATTGTTAATATAATCCTGGGCTGCCTTAATAACACATACTTCACAATATTCCAAGCTTTTTTTAAAGAAGTAAGCTTCATATCCATCCATACCAGGAGACTTCAAATCTCCTATGCCTTTAAGAGCTTTGACTATCTCATATTCAGAAATAGGCGCAACCATAGTCTCTCTCTTCTCATTACTTAACTTGGGGCCATCTCTCATGACAGTGATGTCAATGCCATCTAACTCCTCATCAACCTTGCTCATCAGATTGTTATCGAAATCCTTCTCGAGTGGTCAGATTTGTGCCATCATCCCTTTGCAGAATTTTCATACTCTTATACTTGTTCCTAGCTTTAATAGAAGCATAGAAATATTAATTGTTTCCATCTCCCAGTTTAAAGCAGTGCAATTTTTCCCTTTGCTTCAACACTTTTTCCTCCAGCTCCTTCCACTTGATTATCTCATCAGTGTACTTTTTAACCATATCAATCTTTCTAACATTCATTTTATCATTACTTAGCTTCATCTGAACATTCAGAAGATTAGACCTAGCTTTAACAATATTTTGCTTCACATCAGCTAGGGGCTTACTCATTCTCTTCAAGATAGGTTGCAATCTCTTCAGTTTCTTCCACATGACAAACATATGTATTCCATTTATAGGATCTATCCCCTTCTAGAAACAACATTTAGAAATCCCTCCATATCAGTTGTACTGTTTATAAACTTGAAATTAGATCTTTTTCTATATGTGATATCTTGCCATTTCAAGCAAAGCATGTCTTGGTCTGAGACACTAGGGTACATAACAGTGAGATTGTAGTCATTGTGATCCTGCATCCAATCTAAATTACCAATCACTTTATCGATTCTAGGATAAATAACATTATCACTTTACTTGTTAGACCAAGTATAATAGTCTCCATTGTCGTCCATCTCATACAATCCTGTTTTCTCCATCATTCTACTCAGGCCTAAGTATTCATTTTCATTCCCCATGTTTCCCCAATTTTGTCTTGAATTTTCAACACATTATTGAAATCTCCCATTAAGAATCAAGGACCCCGTTGTTGATAGTTAAGATCTTCAATGTCTTTCCACAACTTTTTTTCTATACTCTAATTAATTGAACACACATATGAAAGTAATTCAATACCTCAAATTACCACTCAAATCAAAAGATCCCACAATATATCGTTTAGTTAGTGCTCTTAACCAGATTGATGTTCATGCTATTGTCATTCCAATACACCCAAACCCTACAATTTTCATGCTTATTTAAAATAATTATTGTTAGTATTTTTAAAAATACATAATCTCTAACGAGTTTTTTTTTTATTTTGTATCTTTCATAACATAATTGTTCCTTTTAAAAGTTTTACATATTTAATTAGAAAATCAAAACGATATTCTAAAAAAAATCAAATAGAAAATATTTTCCAAAGCAAATCAAATGAGGTTAATACCGGCAAATCCGCAAAATCAGTTCAAAACACAATCAAGTTGGGCCTATTCCACTTGAAAGCGGGTCCATGAAGCAAAATAAACGGTGGAGATATATAATAAAGAATTACGAAAGTGAATAAAAGGGTTAAGTGGAAGAATTTTCAATATTTCCGTGCCACACTCGCAACTCCTTCATCTTCATCACACACTTTCTCTTCTCCTCCTTCTTCTTCTTCTTGCACAGTAAGGTAAAATCATCGCTAATCCTCTTTTTCTACCGATTCAGTACTCGTCACTAACCTCGTGTATTCGTTTTCTTGTTTTTCAGTTCAATTTTCTCATACTTTAGCTCGAATTATGTATACGATTCACCGTTACGATTCTAGGTTAATCGTAGTTTTTTTTCTTCAGTTTTATTCATGAAATCGTAGTTTATCATTATTATTATTATTCGGATTGTTTTTGTTTTGTTCGTGTTGCTTTTTTCTAGAACTGATTAATCGGATAATCGGTTTGATTGAGTTTCGGAGGTTCAGTTTTTGTTATTATTGTTACTCTCTTTCGGTTGGAGTGGAGTGATTTTCACGCATGAACGATTGTGATTTTTGCTTTAGTCTTTCTTTTTTTGGTGAAGTTGATTTTGTGATGAAATAAAAAAATGGAATGAAAAATAAGTAATGATTGAATGTTATTGTTACGTTACGGTTGTTAGAATATTTTTTATAATTTTTTAAATTTTTTTTCATTGATAGGGCAAAGAAATTAGAAGGTTTCTCTGTATTTATAGGTTGATGAATGTGAAAAGATGCGTTCTATGCTAGTTGTTATTGTTGGTTGCTGGAGATAAAGATACTATGGGCGGTTGTTGCTGTTGTGCTTCTAAGGAGACTGTGTTGAGTGCTCCACCTGCTTACTATTATGTATTCATCCTTTCCTTTTCATATTTGAATTTCATGCTTTTATTTAGCTTTCGGTTTTTAGAAGCGTTTTGTTTTTTTTTAAAATGTTGTGATACTGACACGCCGAGTTACAATGCGGCAACCTGTAATAATGTGAGAAAATGAAACTGTTGACTGTAATCACATTTGTTAGTGCCTATGAAGCACTGACATGTCGACGCCAATAATAATTTGAAATAAATAAATTAAGTGAACGTAATCACAAGTGTTGGTGTTGGTTTTGAATATTGACACTGAGACTGACACATCTTTTTCAGAGGTGTTGGTGTTTTAGAGGTTAGTGTTGTGTCATACAATGCCACTCCTTGGATCTGGAGTGTCAGTGATGCCTCATAGCCGATAGCGACACAGGCATAGCTTTCAATAGATAGGTAGATGGTTAGATATAGGCTTGGAAGATGTTTTAACTTTTGTTAGGTTGCCCTGGTCATCTACTGAGGGAAGGTTTTAGAATGTTCTCAATGAAGTTTGTTTCTGTGAGGAAATTAACTGATCTTTAGAGAAATGGTTGAGTTTATGGTCCGTATTTGTGAGAAGTATCAAATTGATTATCCAATGGTGTTTATAATGGAAATGCTGAAGGTGAAGGAGTGATTTCATTATATTCAACTGAAGGTGCAATTGGTTATATGTGCAGTACGGGAGGCAGTAACCGTGTCAACTAACTCTAGTAGGTAGGATAGGTCAAAACATTATTAACCACTGCTAACTAACTATAATTAAGTCACCAACTAGCTTCTAACACTCTTATCCTCCTATATGCTATTTTGTTGAAGTAATTGATGTAAGCGAACTAAGATTGGTTCGACTGGTAAGCATACTGCTCATTCTATATATTGGCGTGAGTTTGAATCTGTCTGAATCCTCCGTTCCTGTGAGGAAATTAGTGATGAATAATTTGTAAGCATTTTTTAAGTGCTCTTTGAGCCATGAGACCACTCCTCCTGATACTGTTGAGCTTATGGGAATCAACTGAGCGGAATTTTCATTAATAAATAAGAATTGATGGTTTTGATCTATTTATAACTGAGTTTATGGTTACTTTTTGTTTATTCTTTGATAGTTGTGTAATCAATCTGTGATCATATTAACTCATTTGCTGCATTTTCTCAGCAGTATCCAAGAGCATCAGATGAGCATGTTCCACTATCTTCTCATCAAGGTGCTCCCTCTGCTTTCTCTGGAAGGCTCTTAGTTGATACTAATCTAGATACTTCGAGTCCTGATACTTATACACCACCTCCTGCTCCTATCCCTTTCAATGTGACAGTCGGTGCCACTCAGACTGCACCTGTGGCTCAAGAAATTTGCTGTGACAAGAACAACACAAATTCTAACTCAGTTCAAGAACCATCTGGAGACAATAACGCAACCCCACCTAAGTCAGAAGAACTGAAGGAATCAGAATGCAAAGGTCAGACTGATTTAGAACTAGACTCGGCAAAGGATTCTGAAATTGAACTTTCAAAGTTGGGCGAACCTATAAATTTAGTAGAAGAAGAGGATGGATGCCCGATATGTTTAGAAGGTGATGTGGCCGCACTTTATTTAATTTCTGAAACTAACTATTTAAGCCATTTATCATGTGAAGTTTATCCTGTTTTTGGTTGAAATGGAGGGTTGTTCTCAAATGTGTGTTTTTATATCTAAGCAGAATATGACGATGAGAATCCAAAACTCACCACAAAATGTGATCATCATTATCACCTTGCTTGCATTCTGGAATGGATGGAAAGAAGTGACACTTGCCCTGTCTGTGCTCAGGTTTCTCCCACTCATTCCCAATTTCCCATATTTTTAGATATTTGTAAATATATCACTGTGAATAAGATGATTATAAATTCTGTCTTTCTTTGGTGCAGGCCTTGGTTTTCAGCCCTCCCATTGAGTAGTACATATCTTTGAAATCAACATGAGAAGTCAAATATACTGCATGTTAGTTTTTGATAAGCTGAGATTACAAAATCATACTAGTCTGGCAAACTGAGCATATGGCTGTATTTTGATTGCTTGGTTTTCTGCATTTCAATGTGGTTAATTCCATTTTTCATGCAGAGTCCCTTGTGTTGGTTGAGAGTAGAATGTTTACATTGTGTATAGTTTTTCAACTGAAATGTTTAGTTGATATCAAGATACTACATAAGATGCCTTGCATAGATTTTTATTAGAGATATGTTATTGCAAAACATGACGGTTAATATAATTTTTGGTTCTTTTTTTTGTCGTGGACTCGTAGAAATTTGTCAAAGAATGATCGCATGCATGCCTTCACTTTCCATGTGTTGCTTTCATCTTTTATATTGAAATTGATCTGGGATTGTTTTGCTTATAAGCATTGGACATAATGGGATCGCTTGAATGATTGTATACAGTGTGTTTGGTCGAATGCAAACAATAGCTTATATCTTTTTTCCTGACCAGGATTCACATGGGTGGCATTTGGATTTGGACTCTGTAAGTTCAGATCCTGCATTCTATGCAGTTGCCCAACATTCTAATAATCGAAGGACACAATTTTCCAGACTCATCTTTTAATTTTCTCCCAAAGAAAAAAATTCACCCATGCAATCCCTAATAATTCCTGATTTGTTGGAGAAGATTCAAAACTGTACCCTTTGGCACAAGGTTAATTACAGTACCTCAGTGATCTTAATCTCGACGGTGATGGAAAAGGTGACTCTGTCCCATGGCAAGGTTAACTGCAGTTGGGGGAGCTAACGTTGTATCACCACAATATCAGTTCTGCTATCATTGTAGTGGAATGCCAGAGAGTAATTGTGCATTGTGTCATACCCTCAACCTTCAAATGTGCATGGCTCATTGTAATTCTGATTTCAACTGTGTATAATGATAGTGAGATTGATATATATGTTCATGATATAAAGTACGACCTGTTCTATAATTCTTTTCCAACGAGCTGGGTCAAAAGGACTTTCAACCATTCAAATCTTACTTTCACTTCTTTATTGTTCACATCCTTTAATGCTTCTGATTTAGAGTGATATGCTAACCAATAAAATTATTATGTTCTCTTACACGGATGAAACCTGCAGAAAAAATAGAATGTTTTTGAAATGATTGATTCCTCTATTGCCAATCATATTCATCGATTGTGGTTCTATAACACAAGTGATTTGGACTATAGTGGAATCGGTCATCTCTGTCCTCCCGAGCCTCCACCATCACGGTATCTATAATACCACTCGGCTTAGAGTCATTCGGAAAGAGTCTTCCATCAATACTCGTCTGTTATGTATCATATATGATGTGACACTCGGAAGAATTACCAGATGTAACCGTCTACGTAATTCCAGTCATTTGGTGATATGGTACTGCGTGCCTCATTTGGTATTGGATGATTAACATAATCATCAAACATGACATCCATATCTCTACGTTCTATTGTGAATGATTCTCATATAAAGACTACAAAATGTAAAACATTAGAATATTTTCTCATGTATCAAGAGTTACACCGAAGTCGATAAAAAAATATAATCTAAAATGTATCAAGTGTACAAATACAATAATCTATTGTGTATGTTAGACTATGAGTCGGCCTCACCCATTGTCTCATGTACTGCAGTGCCTCCTGAGCCTTCGCCATCATGGCATTTATAACACCACTCGCCTTAGAGTCATTTGGAAATAGTCCTCCATCAATACTCGTCTATCCAATATCCATGATACGACGACACCTAGGCATGACATCATGAGAATGATCTGTCCTAGTCTGCTCTTTCTCTAGTATCTCTTGATGAGCTAACTTAGGTGAGTCACTTGGAGCATCATGTATCATATATGGATGTGACACCTAGAAGAATCACCGGATGTAACCGCCTACGTAGCTCCAATTATTCGGTGATATGGTATTGCATGTCTCATCTGGTACTAGATGATTAACATAAACACGACATCCATATCTCTACGTTTTACAAGGGAAGGAGAAGATACAACATGATCTCTGAGAATATACTGCATGTAGTTGAACTAACGCATGACGCGTTCAGGCAGATGAGGAGTCGTCAAGCGCGATCCGCAAGTCAACCATCTCGAGTATAAGACAATATCATCAAATGGAATCGTCATGCGGTGATCGACGTATGTATGGAAATGTATATCCTCAAAGACCAAGCGGTGGATATACACCTGAACGACTTTGTCGCCTGGTTCCCTCTGAGTGGGGCGAATTCAAAAGTACGTGACTTATCCTCAATATAAGTCGGCTCAAGTGACCAATCAGAGATGCGTGGGAAGCATTGTAGGATCTAGGCCTAAAAACAAGAATCATTAGTTAGTAATGGTGTTGCAATAATTAACAAAATGACACACAATCATTAGAAGACCAAAAAATGTTATCGTCAAAAGTGTGATATTGTCGGTCACCTGCTTCATCTTCCACATACAACCTTCAGATAATTTACAGTACAAGTAGACCAAACAAGCGGTCCCTCAGTTGTACTCATGGATCTGCTCAAAGTCCTCAAAGTACTGCATGTATATGACATCCATAAAAGTGACACTCTTGTCCACAAAAATGGCAGTGTCAACTAAATACAACATGTATACTCTCATAACACACTCTGTGTTGCCCTATCTGGTCTGCATCATCATCAGCCTCATGTGCTCTCACTATTTATTTTTCACACATCCTGCAAATAGCTAAACCTAGAATGATCCCCACGAGTCTTGTCAAGCTCCTTCATAGAACTCTCTAGGGAAACTTCTAAGTATTCAACCATCAACTCTAGTTTATATTCTTTGTGACACTTTCCATGATCTAAAAACATCCCCTAATCAGAAGATGCAACAGACACGCGATATTGTCCAATGTGATAAACATCTCATCATGTGGTAGATAGAAGGATGACGTCTCAGCATTCTATCTCCTTAGAAAAGCACTAATCATATCATGGTTAACTGTAGTATAACCAGTTTGGCTCAAATATTTTAACCCTAATAGCTGCAACACATCTTGAAACCACGACTCATTGGACTCTTCCAGGTGACTGATCTTCTACATATGGTTGATGATTTTTAGTAGATTACATTCCTGCATACATGGTTTAACAAGAATGATTCAAACAAACAAAACTTAATAATAAAATAAATACAGTTTTAAATGAATAGTTCCAACTAATTTTTACCTCTCCATCCCATATATGTTTGGCAACATGGTCTGGGTAAAGAGGTTGCAGTGATAAGTTTGACGGACCTCCTCCAAAACTCTGAGGTGTCACAGGTGCAGTCTCATATGCTTAGGCATGTGATGCATCAAGTGCTGGCTGGGACTGGGATGTCTCTATTGCCTTGGGTGCCGCTTGGAACTGTGGTGTCTCTTTTATCAGCGGTGTAGCATGAGACTGGGGTACCTCAGATATGGTCTGTGACTATGATGCCTCTCATGCCTTAGGTACCTGAATAGGTGAACTCATATGTCTACGTGAAGACGGAGGTAGGGAGACATGAACAGGGGAACCTCACCTGCTGTCAGAGGACGAAGAAGAAGATGGGGAGATATTAGCCCAAAAACCTAACACCGCCTCCGCATCAACTGATCTAGAGGTAATAGGAGCATGACATGGTTGACTTTTTCCCCTCTGAACGGATGCATGCTTTGTAACCATGTCGTGTATTAATCTGGATGGTCTTTCAGCCATAATTCTAATATACAAGACAAACGTCACACAAATGACTTATGTACAAAAAAAGGTAAAAGATTACAAATAGACTTATTCTAGAGATGCATCTCCAGTTTATAGGTAAACATTGAAATTTTTCGGGAATTCATATCCGAAAATTCCTACAACCTCAAAGACCGTCAATGGAAAAATGCATACCCTTAAAACCTCAAAAAAATTCATTGATCGTCAAAACCACCTAACTAAAACGTTCCTCAGTAGTTCTAAGATAGAAAACACTAAAAAGCTTTTGATTTTATAACCTAAAACTCAACTTCTGCACAATTTGAATTAACTCAATAAACTTAAAAAAACTTACAATTTCTCTCTTAAACTTGATTCTTGATGCTCAATGGTGTTTGAATACCGATGTTTGATAAAGTTTGATTGTTGTTTGGTGAAGATTGATGAAGTTTCACACAATGGGGTTGGGGAGTGTTTTGAGGAAATGGGTTTTGAAAATAGTATGAGTAAGTGAGGAAGGGGAAGGGGCACTGACGCGTATTTGATACAACATCGTCTGGAGATACATCTACGTAAGTATGTCGGAGATGTATCTTTGGAATATTTTTCTGTGATATTAGGCCTTGTGAAATATATATACTAAAGTTGGGTGCGTTCGGAGATGCATCTCCAACATGTTTACGTAGATGCATATCCGGTAAATTACTTCCACTGATTTAGGGTCTTGTTTAGCAATATGTAGAATTTTGGTGCGTCTAAAGAGGTATCTCTGGAACCTGAGGGCATAAACGTATTTTCGTATGGTGCGTTAGAAAATCATGGGATGCATTAAGAAATTCCATCTTTCTCTCTCTCTCTCTCTCTCTCTCTCATCTTTGCCACTTTTTTATTTTATTTTCATTTTCTCTCTCTCTTCACACTTATAAAAGTTGAGTTGGAGTGTTTTCTGCTGTGATACGATGGGAGAACTGACTTGGGTGTTTTGCGTTTTATCACAAATGTTGCGGTTAGCAAGAGTCACCACCGACTTTTCTTTTATCCAAAAGGAAAGGGTGAAAAGAACAGGAAAGATCTTTGAGATTATTTCTTGAGTTCGGGGGGTAGATTATTAAAAGGAGAGGTGTTAGCACCCTTTTCATCCATAGTTATCTATGGGCTCTTAGTTTCTTGCTAGATCACTTGCTTTTGTTTGAAAATGTACTTTGTGGTGGTTTTTGAAAGTATTTTGAAAAGGCGTCTTCATTTAG